GGTAGTCTCAACGGTTTCCGTATCCGCGTTAACCCCCAAACGGACACTGTGAGACACTCGGTACTCAGACGCTGGTTTGCTGTCACCTCATCTGCAGATTTGGAAATGGAGGGTGAGTTCGCTTCACCATTTGGAGGTCCGATAGTGGTCGAGATTCCTGGGCCCGCGAACATTACCATCCACTTCAAGAACGTTTACCGCTACCCGTGGTTTGATATTCGGAATCCGGAGTCAAGGAACAACTGGGATGTTGAGCGTCGTAAATATCATGGCGTTCCCTTTGTGATGATAGTCGGTAATAACATGATCAGCATGATCGAAACATCAATGGCAACGAGGACCAGCAAGGAGGATATGATATACTGCATCAACCACTATGACAATATGGTCAAGCTAATGCACAATTACCGTGGCACAGACTATGCAACCGATCGGCTGCAGGTATTTGTGACCGATGAACAAATCTCGGCTGGTGATGGTCATTCGGGCTACCCGTGGATGGGTCACAAGTATTGGGGAAACGCTCTTGTATCGAAGCAAGGCATACAACAAGGGAAACAAATTGGGATCCCACACGAAGTTGGTCACAATCTGCAAGTCGATCGGATCACATTTATGCATGGTGGTGAAGTGACTAATAACATGTACATCCCAGTGATGTACAAGTATCTGGTTGGGCTTGATTCCTACGCCAAGGGATTCCAACCAGGCTGGACTGAAGGGGATGAGAATGATCTGTTAGCCACTTGGCGTGGCACCGAGTACAGAGGTGTGCAAGTGAGTTACTACAATTACTTCCACAGATACTTCACCGCGGCTCTCGTTGGTAATGTGATCAGCAGCGCAGTCCACTCGAACGAGGCCTTCAACACTGAGGAGAGGAAGGTAAACTTTTGGATGAAGCAAATCTGCAACGAGTCTGGATACGATCTGGTTCCATTCAATCGTTTGTGGAAGCTCCCAATCACCAACGAAACAGCGCAGTTTTGTGCTCAATTTCCATGTTTCTTCCCTGACGACGAGCTCACGCAAAAAGTACCCGAATTGGTGGAACAACTGCTGAAGGAGTATGGTAAGGATTGCTCTCGTGAGAAGCCGAGGGAGGTACAATTCAAGCGGGATATCTTGCGTGGTACTAACTCGTTGGATCCACAGATGATTTTCTTGCATGAAGAAGGTTGTGCTTCATAGACCCTCACGAGAACTGCCGGACCAGATGTGCGCACCGTGATTTCACCGTTTGCAGTGGTTTAATGTGTTCACCTATTTGTATTTTGCTAAATAAATCTTGGTTCTTTGGGAATTCTTCACAACAGAATCTTGCTTTATTACACCTGTGACTTGAAACGTGTCATACACATTCTCCTACTGAAATCAACTCCTCCCTTTGAATCTAGTCCCATAGATTGTGATCTCACGCTGCGATTGTGCAATCGATGCAACTACCTTCAGTTCAATGGAGAGAGAGCATCGAACACGAATTTGCCGTTACATCGTTTGCTTTCCGCTAGCTTACAGTACCTGGATACTGCTGGACGAATTGGCTTACATCATGGAATTATATCCATGATGAATTACGGGTAAAAATGCAATGCTTCACAAGTCCCGTGGGATAAGAATTATTGCGAAAAGCAAAATGCATTATAAAGTGATAGCGATTTGGTGGACTCAGCATAGACTTATGTAGAATAGCGGGGATGTTTGAGTAGTAAAATATACATACATAAATCCACTGGTCGGGAGTATGCTAAGACACCGTTTGATTGCGTTTTGTAGCCACTGGCTAATAATTTATACAATGAAATACAAATGGACAACGCCTCGTCAAATAGTTTGTTAACTATCGCCAGATTGTTAGTAGAGACAAGATAATTAGCTAAGGCGTTCCAAGGCTGACACACGCAGAGCGAATGGAAAATCCTAGGGCATTCAATCCGGCTATACCGAATTGTCAGTTTCAGAGGATGATCTCTTAGGTTCATGTTGTGGTTCAATACCAGCACTGGTCGGCAAATGTGGTTTGGATTCGTCAGAATCTGGTAAACCATTATGAGATCTCCTCGCAAAGTCGCGTATCGACTGCTCTACATAGTTAGAGATTTCAGTCTAAGCTGATAGGACAGATGAAAGAGGCTCCTGACGTTCTTGGTTGCACTAGGTTAAGGATTCGTGAGAGTGACAACATCCTGTTTGTACCACGGCTGCTACACCTGAATAGTACAATGCACGTGCGGCCGCACGTAGGCGTTAAACATTTGGGGGGAAAGCTTGAGGGTTCAAACCGACCGCAGGCTCTGTGAAGCAGGCCGAATTGTTGATTGCCGGTTCTCGTCGCGTGC